AAGCTAAACGAGCCACGTTTTTCATGGAATGCCAGAGGGTCTAACAGATAAACTATGGCTATTTCGATCTAGGTATTTGACAGACATTTTTTTGAAAATGAACAATGTGAGCCCATTTATTCAAGGGAAACAACTGATGGTATTTGTTGACAATGAAATTTTGAGCTTTAAGTGAAAATTATTTTTTGGAAAACTTGTTTCTGTTACTCTGAGTTTGACAGCCTCGCAATTTTCTGAGAACATCAATGGTGATATTGTTATGATTTTTAAATATTATATAATTATGTGCATAAACATTGGGAATACCTGTATAACTCAGTTATAATATTGAACTAATATTTTTGAAATGATCAATGCATGATGTCATTAAATCATGATTGAATAAAAAATCCATTCAAGGACAATGTTGATTGCCAATTTTAATGTAACAGAGTCAAAAAGTTCATTAATAAAGTTTTAGATTCCACATAGCTAGCTTTTAAGAAATTACAATTATCTGAAAAGGCTGAATATTGAAAAAATACTATTCCTTTTCCAATTACATATCTATGTGATGTTGCATTTTTTCGTATATGTCAACCCAAACAACGTATCACAGAAGATTGAATGCAGAAACAGATAAGAATTCAGCTTGATCCCACAAGCCAAACATTAAAAAGTTTTTCAAAAAATGTAAACCAAACCCACTGTCACTAAATTCCTTTTGGAAAATATTGTTATTATATATAAAATATATTTATATTAACATGTGTGATGGTTTTTGGATAAGATTAATGTTTAATCTGTGAACTTGGAGTAAAGCAGATTGCTCTTCATGATGTGAGTGGACCTCATCTAATCGGCTGAAGGCTTGAATAGCACAAAAATCCAGCCTCACATTGGGGCGCCTGGGTGGCTCAGTCGTTAAGCGTCTGCCTTCGGCTCAGGTCATGATCCCAGGGTCCTGGGATCGAGTCCCACATCGGGCTCCCTGCTCGGCAGGAAGCCTGCTTCTCCCTCTCCCACTCCCCCTGCTTGTGTTCCTGCTCTCGCTATCTCTCTCTCTGTCAAATAAATAAATAAAAATCTTAAAAAAAAAAAAAAAAAAAAAAATCCAGCCTCACCAAGCAAGACGGAATTCTCCTGCAGAGTGCCGTCAGAATTCATCTTTACGATAATCAGCTTTCCTGGGACTCCACCCTGCCAGCCCACACTGCAGATTTTGGACTTGCTAGACTCCATAACTGTGTGAGCTAATTCCTCATACTAAATTTCTCTCCATACATACACATCCTAATGGTCACGTTTCTCTGGAGAAAGCTGACCAATACAACATGTAATGAGTTTATTATTTTTATTTTTAAATGAGTAAATATTTTAAACATTTCTTAATTTTAATTTCTAATATAGTAAATATCCATATATAATCCATATAAATAAGAAGTTTTGGGGGTTCTCAATAATTCTTAATAAAAGTGGTCCTGAGACCAAAAGTTGGACCAAAAAGTTTGAGAACCACTGGTAAAAACTATATTTAAAACAAAATAGCTTTTCTTTAAAAATTCAGTAATTTTGACTGCTGGCTCTCTGACACTAGCCTTCCCTCAATTACTCTGAATTTATGAACTCTTGTTATGTTTTTTAAAAAAATTTGGAGATCACAGCCTAGCTAAATGATTATCAGAGTTGGATATTCATTTTATCCTATTCTTACACTAAGAACAGCAAATTTTGGATAAAACCTAATACTTTAATATTATTTAATTTTTTTCTCAAAAGTTTTTAGGAACTGCTTAAATAATGCAAACAGCACTTTTAAACTCCAGCTAAACCTAACTGTTCTGTCCAGAGACCCAAACACTACTGATGGTCAATTTAACAGCCTGTTTGCAGAAAGCCCTCATAGGAGCTGATTAAACACAAGTTTTGGATCTTTACAATAGTGATGTTCAAAGGGATGGGCATGAAGGGTGAGAGTGGCTTCACCTATCCTTCCTGAGGGAGCATCAGAATCTCATGTGGGTGAAACTGGAGAACTTTTTTCCATCCCAGCAGAGATATTCACTGCCCTTCTCTTACAGACTCACTGCTTAAGTGACTGCTACAGATTTCTTGGGCATATCAAAGCAAAGACATGCTTGGGGATAATTACTCTGTGATTTTATATTCTAGGGAGACAGTTTAAAATAAAGTACTTGGTAAGTATAACTCGAAAGACTAAAAGGAAATTAACAGAAACACAGCTTTTAGGAATTTGTGCTTATTCTGAGGGTCAATCAGGGCTTTGCTGCTCTATTAATAATATGAAAGCAAAACCATTATACTTCAATTAATTACATATTTAATGATTATTTCAATGTTACTTGCTTTACTTAGAATTTCATTATCTCTCGGGCGCCTGGGTGGCTCAGTTGGTTAAGCGACTGCCTTCGGCTCGGGTCATGATCCTGGAGTCCCTGGATCAAGTCCCGCATCGGGCTCCCTGCTCGGCGGGGAGTCTGCTTCTCCCTCTGACCCTCTCCCCTCTCATGTGCTCTCTCTCATTCTCTCTCAAATAAATAAATAAAATCTTTAAAAAAAAAAAAAGAATCTCATTATCTCTCTTTTTTGTGAATAATACGGATTTTCAGATTTAAATAGCACAAAATCTCACTTTGTTGTGAATCATTATGATTGTATGTAATGAATTACACTTTTCTTTCTCTCTGCCCCTTTGCAATGTGATATTATTGTTCTTCCCTTCAAGATATGTAGTCTGTTTCACCACCCTTTTGAATCTGGGCTAGCCTTATGACTTGCTTTGACCAACAGAATGCGACAGAAGTGATCTTGTATATTTTGGAGCCTAGGCCTAAGTCCACTCTCATACTTAGAATGTTTCACCAGCCTATGAAAAAGCACCGTCTATCCTACCAAGGATGAGAAGTCATGTGGAGAACTGAGGTTTCCCAGTCAACAGCCAGCACCAACTGCCAGACAGGTGATGAGGCCATATGGGATCCTCCAACTCCAGTTAAGCTGTCAGATGTCTGTAGCTGCATGAGTGATCCCAGGGGAAACCACGAGAACACCAGATTACCAACTCACAGAATTGCATTAATAGTTTTCATTTTTAGCCACTAAGCTTTTTTAGTCATTAAGTTTTGAAGTGGTTTGTTACGTGACAAAGACTAACTGAAACAAGTGTTTGTGTGGGGTGCCTGGGTGGCTCAGTCAGTTAAGCGTCTGCCTTCTGCTTG